TATTAATCGATTTAAGAAAGGCTTGTTGAAGATATTTTGTTTCGGGTTATCATAGTGTCACTAATATGAAGTGGTACTGCTGGACACGTTCTTTTTTGTTTTTTCAAACACCACGAACTGCTGAATAATGAATCATTTCTTATAACTAATTGGAATTAAAATTATTTTTCAAGTTTCTCATAGATCTGGAAACATCGATGAATAAAATGGATATGTAGAATAATACACGGACTTTTCTCTACGTTAAAATACTTTTATTTGCGAGCTTTTGGTCATCTTACATCATCGGCAACAATGTACTGAGCTCAACACATTGTTGCCCGATGAGGTAAGAGGACCGGAAATCCGTGTATAATTCTACATATTAATTTACCTACGTTATGAGTCTTAAACAACAAATAACATGGATGTTGATTAAACCCTAACAATAATTGACTCAATAGCTGTTTAAGTGTGGTTGTTAACCCTAACGTTATTTTCGCTGAATAATCTCCGCAATATTTTTTGTAAAAATGACTATAAACCAGTTAAAAAACTAGTAAAAAACAAGACAAAAGGCTACCCGTTGTTATTTTTTAGTGAAGAAATACCCAATGGACTGTCATTGCTCTGTTCACTGTAGGAACTCGAGCCACGAATTTTAGCGATGTAAGTCAGGAGGCTTATCACTGACCCACCGAGAGACAAGACTAACAGAGAAATGTGTGTTTACAGCCGTTTCAGTTATATGTTACAATATAATTTCAAAGGTTTGGTTAATAGTTATTTTTAGATAATCTCGTGTTGTTTAAGTGTGTATTCTCTGCATGTAGTCAGTGCTTGGTTTTAGATAGACGTATGAAATTTGGCACTTTAAATTCCGGAACAACCTCAAAAATGCTTATTATTTCAGAAGAGTTAACTAAAATTAAATATTTTGTTAAACGTTTAAAATTTTTGTATTTGGTTATAACATGTCAACTTACGTAAATTTCAATACGTCGTATATTTTTATCATTACTCAAACTTGAAGGCATATGTTACAGGGACAGCTGTAGTTTAATTTATTACTTTGTATTTCTATAAACTACCTTCGTAAAGTTTGTTTGTTTGTTAGGAATTTCGCACAAAGCCTACACGAGGGATATCTGCGCTAGCCGTTCCTAATTTAGCCGTGAAAGACTAGAGGGAAGGCACCTAGTCATCACCACCCACTGCTAATTCTTGGGCTACTCTTTTACTAACGAATAGTGGTATTGACTGCACATTATAGCGCCCCCACAGCTGAAGGGGCGATCATGTTTGGTGAGACGGGGATTCGAACCCGCAGCCGCAGATTTTGAATCGAGCGCCCTAACCACCTGGAGATGCCAGACCCCTTCGTAAAGAATCGTTCAATTTCAGAATTTATGTAATTGTGCACATGCTTTGTCTAAATACGAATTATTTACTGTACATCTTTTGACTGTATAACATTATAAAAACCTGTATAATTCATTACCCTATAATCAATAACTAGCGAGGAGAGTTCTTTTTACGTTATCACAGGTATAAAGTTTGCAATTTTAATTAAGTTTTTAGGTATTAAATAATGCTATTTGTACAAAAATAAAATAAAATTGCACAAAATTCAAAATATCAGTAATCACGCTCTTACCAAATCTCGCTAGGTGTCATAACATTCATCACTTCTTAGGTTCTACAAAAACAAACAATAAACATCTTTTGTGCACTACCTCTTTTTAAGCAGTAGTTATGTTAGTTGTTGTTATTAATATTTTACAATACGTTATTTTACAGACTTTCTGTCGTACTAACTTGTTTGGATCCTGTTTTTAGTAGTGGCATATGATGGTACATTTTGAATTAATACAGTGGCTAGAACAGTATTTCTCAAACGGTGGGTCGCGACCCCCTTAGGGGTTGCAAACAGGTTTCCAGAGGAGTCACGAGCTATCTGTGCTGAGTCAGCATTTTTTTTAGTCCTCGAGATGTCTGTGCACTTATCACCTATGTTATTAACAACGACGAACCGTTTTTACATCCTTGTAGAGAAAATGGAGTCGCGATGACCAAAGCCCGGACGTGAGGGTTGTCTCGCAAATCGGGCTAAGAAACACAAGTCTAGTAAGTATATCGCTTAGAAAATAACTCTTGTAGAACAACACGTAGTAGCTGTAGTATTAATAACAGGATCTATGGTCTAGCAGTAAGTCTGGTGAAAAGTTGAGCTAGACATGGCGAGCTTTGATTTGGTTGTACTTAATATTGTTTTTATATTGAAGCACTTTTCACCCTAAATGTCAAATTTACTTGTATTGGGTTCCATGAGAAAATTACTTATAAAATATGTACACTGATGTCGAATTTCTTGTAGGTGTCCGGATATCGTAAATCCGGTATGTTATACGCAGGTACTCACAAGCGGGTCAACTACTTGAACATTGCTTGAGCAAATATGGATCACTTGTTCATGTCAAAGAAAGCTTTTCTATGTAGCGTGACCTACATTCTTTATTCAACTGATTCATTTTAGTTGAAAATGGTGAATTTATTGTATATTTTACTGGTATACGTACTTGTAAATAGGTCATTAATAGCGTAATCGTGGTATTTATTTCCACCCTTCATGGTGCCACAAAAGATGCTATGTGAGTTACTCGCGTTCTTGCATAATGTCATATCTACATTTTCAATCATATGAAGAAATATATACTGTTTTTTTATGCAGAAATATTAAGTCGTGCTTGAAGATATAATATCAAATAATTCCTATTTCACAGATTATTACTACTAAAACATTATTGAGGAAAAAATTGGTTTACGTGGTCAGATTAATCGCATGGACCTGGACATGAGACAGTGCATATAGTATATATGTACTATATGTTTTATACGTTCTTTTTTTATTAATATAGAAATTCCTTAAACATTTTTCCTTAGTCTGATTATTTATAAGTTTTGCATAGACATGTGGTTCAGAAAACGTTGATTTGTTTTCATTCTAGTTACATTTGTTTCTTTGTTTTTCACTAGCAGATGTCTACTTTGCCAATGGAAACATTGTTGTACAGACCAGGTCAATCACAACAATGTCCTTCATTGGCCAAGTAGTTGATATCTAAAGGTTTCAACCTCCACTCTATTGTATGAGAATCACACGATAATGAAAGTTGTTATGAGTAATTTGATATTTCCTGTTAGTATGCAGCTTTGGATTTACAAAGCAGTTCTATAAGTTAGTTAACAAGAAAACATTTTGAGAGACAACTGTTGATTGGTTTAATAATTCTGTAGAAGATTCATAAAGATTGGGTTTCTTTTTTTACACCACGCGTATACTGTTTATTTTCTTAGCACAAATTTCAGTTGTTTAACTAAATTCGAAATTACTTATTAATAATAAGTAATGCAGTATAATAATAATTAGTATGCAGCTTTGGATTTACAAAGCAGTTCTATAAGTTAGTTAACAAGAAAACATTTTGAGAGACAACTGTTGATTGGTTTACTAATTCTGTAGAAAGTTCCATGCAAGTATTCACATTGTGTTCTTTTTTTTTCTTTTTGCTCTGAAAAAAAAAATATCATAAAGATTGTGTTTCTTTTTTTTTACAAATTTCAGTTGTTTAGCTAAATTCGAAATTACTTCACAATTTTCCTGATCAAACCATCACGTTATAAAGTGGGCCTAGCTAATACTTGTGCGTAAATCAGTTACACCTGAGAATAGCATAGAATAGGTAGGAAGGAAAACGTTTGATGCTCTTACCACGGAATTTATTGTGGAGTTTTTAGTTTTTGTTAACGGGCGTATTGACAGTTACTGATCTCTTGAGTTTCACGAGTTTAAAGTAACGCTTCTGACTGAAATAATTTCATATTTTCAAAGTATAAGTAATCTCGAAAAAGAAGGAGAGTTTGCTGCCGAAGAGCGAAACGGCTGTATGGAAGAAGTGTGAAGTCCAAAAGGGTACTCTCTTGGACATAGTACCTTTGCTGATTCTGCAAAGATACCCGTAATCGATCAGTCTTATTAACTTTCCCATAAAGAAGAAACAAACATGCAGTTGTTTTTCATGCATGGCTCATATAATATTATTTTTATATTATTCTATTTCATTGTACAGTTTTCTTCTCTGATATGATGGACTTTTGTAGATAAATAAGCACAGCAGAGTCTTGTTTGTCTATTATGCTCGTGAATCAAAATACAGTGAGCAGTCCAGAAAAACATGAAATGTATGTTCCACTTAATACTATTCTAACAGAACACTCTGCCCTCAGGAACTTAATGAAAATCAGTATCATAACAATTTTAACAACAGACACTTTTATCACAAACAAAGAGCTCCTAACCTTAATTGAAATTGGCCATTATACAAACAAGAGGAATACACCATTGAGCTCCAAACCCTGATTGAAAATGGCCACTACATAAATACAGAAAATAACAAAACCAGCTCCTCAAGAATCATCAGAGAGAACATGGAACAGAAACAGTCAAACAAATAACAGTATATCACAGAACCCGCCAATAAAAAAATCACCCCTGTCACTAATACTCAGTAACCTCTATGTAGAACATTTGAAAGTTAATGTAATCAAAACAACTGTTCTAAAACCCAGGGCACGGTTGAGATGTATTGAAGATACAGTCGTGATACGGTCACATACTACGGACAAGATTTCAGAATTTATGAACTGCCTGAACAAACAACATAAAGCAATACATTTCACAAAAGAAATAGAAGGAGATAACAAGCTTCCATTTCTAGATGTCATGATTCTAATACGCAGAACTCATATAAACCAGGAGTTTACAGAAAACTCACAAATAATGGTAAATACTCCAACTTTGAATCAACTCACCCTAGCAGTGAAAAGTGGGACGTCATAGACTGCCAAGTTTCCAGGACGAACGAAATTTTAAACACTGAAGACACACACACACAAAAACAACAACACATATATGCTACTCTCATTGACAAAAGATACCCATAGCGCTTGATAAATATATATATATATGTAAGCAACAAGAACAGTTAGGATGAGAATTACAGGCACACAACCATATTAGTCTATTATACAAACAGTATTAAGGAGCCACAACACATCAAACTTGGCACACAACAAACAGCTTTAAGATTTAAAGAGAGCAAAACATCGTTCACAACACACCTTATGAATGTGAACTCCACCAATACACTGGAGAAACGAAAATATCAACAAAAATAGTATTCAGGAGAATAAAAGATATGAGAGAATGTAATACTGATCTATCTGCAATATTCAACCAAGCCAAACAAGTAGATCCATAAATTAAAATGTAATAATACGAAAATAATGAGATATGACCCACGCACAATTAAAAAAGGACAAAAGAAACCTTCTACATTTACCTAACAGTGAAGCTAGCATAGAAGGCAGAAAATCCTGGATGTCCCTCCTGAAAACATCTATTTGGTTGGTTACTTAAGTCCTAATGGAGAAAATCCCGAATTATTTGATAGCATATCAACTTTACTATCAAGAAAACTCGGGATCGAATTCCGCCTCACTGCCAGCACAAAAAAGCTATTTTCAGAAACCTCCTGAAGATGGCAGCAGGTTAGCAGCCAAACACGTATACTTAGGTGATCGTATACGCTAGCTAACATTGACAACGAATTATGCTATAAGTTACAATTTAGTTGAGAAGCATAATTCATGATGGTAACATTAATGACGACAATGATGAGCGATATGACTCGATATTTGTATTAAATTTCAATATCATAATATAGAAAACGCTTCAGGATAGTGAATTGTCTCTATAGGTAAGGTTGTGAAATTAGACGGTGATCTAATGTAGTTGACTATATACAAGTGATTAGAGCTGCCTTCCCTCTAGTCTTACACTGCTAAATTAGGGACAGCTAGCGCAGATAGCCCTCGTGTAGCTTTGCGCGAAATTCCAAAAACAAACAAACAAACAAGTGATTAGTTCAATAGAACATTAGCCAAACAGTGACGTCAAGAAATAAACTATGTCAGATAACGTTAGCAGGAAGAAACTTTTCGTCTTAACTTTTGGCGCCAAGAATTTTAGCAAGACATAATTACTTTCGAATTAGAATCAGGCCTAACTTTTGGATATTTTAGACAACTGATTTGTGATCAACAGCTCAGCGAAAGATAGTTTCGGTAAAGGCTTATGTATAGATGTGTGCTTAGCTACTGCTTTAATCGAAAATAGCACTTGAGATTATTAATCTTTCTTACAAAATCTAGAACTTAATAAGTATTATTTGTTTGTTTTAACGCAAAGCTACACAATAAGCTATCTGCATTTTGTAGACAGTAGGGAATCGAGCCCTGACTTTTGGAATTAGAAGTCAGAAAATTTGCTGCTGACTAACTAAAGGACCATTTGATCAGAAGGATTATAATATAGAAACATACTAACTCATTTTAGTTAACAATGCTCATATTATGACCAGCAAGGAAAAATCGGCTTCTGTCAGTGTCAGTGTCACTTCTCAGCAACTTTAGGTCTAGTACATTAATAAAGTTATATATATATATACATTCTTTACATTTACTGTTTTTTAAGGCCCGCGGCCACGAAAAAGTAGGATATTTTGCTAAACATTTGGCCGAAACAAAATTATGAAACATATAATCGAAAAAGCGCATAAAGCGTAATAGTAATTATTACTAAACAGTTTAACTACATTAGTTGAGCTGATTTCAACAAACTTTCGGATTTTCAATCGGATACTAGGAAGCATGGAAATAGTAGTAACTGGCAGAGTATGTGATGAACACAAAAAACGAAAGAAAGGAACATGCCATATTTGCCATGTTTGTCGTCTTTGTGATCCATTACCCTGATGCCCTGTACCTACGATGCATATTAACTACAATAGAAAGCGTAAAACTAATCAATTATCGAATCAGTAAAAAAAAATCATCAAGAGGACTATTACCACAGAAAGATTTGATATCAAAATTGGCCATAACATATCGATCAGCAGAGGGAATTTTAAAGATTTCAAAAGCATAGGTAAAAGAATCGGTAAATTAAATTCGTTAAAGGTGAGGGATTTAAGAATAGGAACGATAAATTTGGAGAGGCTGTAATTGCAGGAGCTTACAGCTGAGAGAATAGGGCGGAGAGAGTATTCAGTGTTGTGCATTTTGGGTTGGCAATAAATAATATCAGGCTTAGTGACACATGGGACAATTTGTTGAAAAGTCGTTTCAGAGATAATATTTTGACTTTTAAGGTCTTGAGGAAACGTAGGATCTGTCAGGTTTTTTATGTATGTATGGTATGGGTAGGAATTTTTACAGTATGTGTCTGTAACTTGTTGACAACAAATTTCAACAGCAAACAAACAGCACACAATCCACTTGTTTGAAAATAAGCCAAATGTAAACATAAATGTTCGTTATACTGTTGGTTATTACAGTTGTATCCAGAGCTTTAAAGAAATGTCTTTTTTTTTATCAAAATCCACCCAGGCTGGTTCAGTTACTTTAGAATACAATTTGACAGAAACAGTTATTCTTCCTGCTCTGCTTTACAATACAATCTGTGATAATTTCGAGTTAAAAGTCACAACTGTGCACCCTTTATGATTAAACTCACAATCATGCATTCTAGATCTAGTTATCTATCTAAATAACCTTATCTCACTGTCTATCTATATAACTAACTTTGTCTAAATACCTTTCTTGGATTACATTACAGATTAAAGAGGGTTACAGAGGCCTAGAATGTTCCACACACTATGCGATATTTTGATGTAATAATACTCAATTGAAGCAGTAAGAAAAATTTAGAAGTTTCTAGTAACATGACGCAATAATACAGCAAGTGCCAATTCACAACAGTATGATTCGTACACAGTTAGGTAAACAAACCCGTGATCAAGCACCACTTCTAGAAATAATTATATTTAACACTCTCACTACACTTAAAACATCTAAATCACAACACTCGGGTTAAATTAAACAATCGTTTATATCTAATAATAAGCCCTGGTATAAGAAAAATATTTATAACATTTTCATACTATATGCAAATACTATTTTCAGTTCATGCATATAGTCTATTCATAAAGTACGCACCAGCATTTGCAGTCCCTTTGATAGGCTCCAATGCAGAACCAGTAGTTCTGGAGATAAATCACCCGCCTCATGATTCTCGCACTGTCAGTTTTGCACCTCTGGATGTATGCAATAGGCTGACGGTCTTTTTGAATGATGAACTCCGTCCGATAGAGGTAGTTTTGGAGTTTTTGTATGGCAACTATGATGGCCAGATATTCTGACTCAACAGCTTTTTACTGACCTACATTATGAGAAACAGTCTGTTTTCATGCTCTAGCAGAAGTACTGCTCCAATTCCAACATCTGATGCATCAGCCTGAACAATGAAAGGTTTATTGAAGTCTAGCATTCTAAGGATTGGTGAACTTCCTAACAAGTTCTTCAACTTCTGGAATGCCATCTGCTG